CTACTGTAGCGCCTCGCAAATTCCCTGCAGACAAAAAAGATATAATATTCGGACAATATATATATTCGACATACAGAAGGTACTAGGGTTACTAGCATGGTCCGAAGGCCAGACCACCCGACGTGGTGCAATGGCCGAGTCAAAAGTGGCCCCTTACCAAAACCGAAAGTTGAACAACTAATGTATTGCACTACAGTGTGAATAAGCCCGGTTTTATTGTCGAATTTGTGTTTCTTAATGTGATGTCTATTTCATGGCCCGCAACCAGCATGTAAAGTAGAAAAAGGTGTGAACCCATAAATATGCACTTTAACAATTCCGACCTAACCATGCTTCGTTAACTGGACTTTTGGCTATTCCCTTATCTTCTATTTGATCTGTGTTATTGATATAATGTAGTGCAAATGTGATTGAATGCCAATTTTTATACTGTAGGCTTCTATTCTAGAGGCTTTCCCACCTCTTTACTTTTATTAGTTTTGCAATTTTGCATGTCGTTTTTTCCCTTAAATACTCTGCTTTACGCATTTTGTGATTTTGGAAGTAGGAGAGCAAAAGAATAAGAAAACGTTGAGTGTTCTTTAGATGATTACGATCCATGCAGGCAACTGGCCTATTTTGATAGTTTACTTTCTGAACTTTAATGCTGTCGAATAAGGTTATCTATCTCGTATGGGTTAATTTGTGAAGTCTCGGAGGAAAGTATAAAACTGACATCTGCCTTTAGCAATTACCTAAATTCTGTATTCGTCAGTGTTGCGCTTAACTACCGACGGGACATCTGACGTGAGCTACATAAAATCTTTTATTTGAGGCATCTTTGGCACCTATATGAAGGCCTTAGTGAAGTGTGCAAGCGCCCCTATCTGTTTTGAATTCATATAGTTGGCTGTGCAGCATTGAAATGAAAAAATACAGCTGAGAGGAGAAAGTGCATTAAAAACCTTATCGCAATAAAATTATTGTAGCGTCCCGAGACTTCCCTGAAGACGAAAGAAGACACGATACTCGGGCAGAGTATATATATTCAGCACAGAGAAGGTGTTTGGGCTACTGGCGTGGCCCAAAGGCCAGCCCACCCAGTGAGGTACAAGAAGGCAAATTCAAAGTTCACAAGTGGCGCCTCAACAATACCGAGGTATAAACCACCATCGTATTACATTACGTCACATATGACCTCTTATGAATTGGCCCAATTTTAGTCCAATTTCATTATGAATAGTGATCGGTAACAAGATACGCCCGTTGTAAAGCATCGTCTGGTCTTGAGTAGTGTAAATCTAGTGCATTACCCCTTCCAATCCAGTTCACAAGTAGGATGAATCTCTAAATACAGTAGATTTGCCAAGATGCCTTCTAGCATACCAAAAATTAAACGCCTGGTATTGGTAATTCCCGAATGGTTATTACTTCATTAGCTCCGCTTTGATTGGCGATGCGGGGGTCGACCGAAGCGAGGGCCAAAGACAACGCCTTAAGGGAAGGCGTCATGAAGTAAATTAGTATTTTGGTAAAATATATGTTTATCTACGCCGATAATTCAGCCTCTGCTGTATATCCTCCGGGCCGTGACAGTAACATATAATCTTTCTGTTCTTCCAGGAAACCTTAAGTTATTACGAATTCAGTGAACCCTTGGGGTTATGCGTTGGCACTACTAGCTTAAAAAGGTAGATATATAAAACTGCTCATATTAATTTTAGAATTGGTACAAGGGCGTCAGGTTTCTAAATTGAGGAAATCTTTGTTCCACGGCTGTATCATGAATCTCGTGATTTATTCGATTTCAGTTGGGAATTTACTGCTTCCAAAACCTCTCTTGAAGGATAAGATAAAATGGTTTCTTAGAGGTCAAATCACAGCTGCAGCCTCATTTAATAGGAATTGACATTAAGCAACTTTAGCACATTTTAAGAAACGGTAATGATAGTATTTATTTACTATTTTGATTAACTACGGGGACCCTTGGTGAAATCCGATGGATGCTTATCTCCCGGTTTAGATGAGGAGCCACTTGTGACTTGGCCATTGTGCCGCGTCTGGTAGGCTGGCCTTCGGGGCATGCCAGTAGCCCCACGTTTTCTGCATGCCAAATGTGCGTATTCTGCCCGAGTATTATATCTTCTTTCCTCTTCAGGTAAGCCTTGGGACACTACATTGGCGGCAGCGGAAAAGCGAACCCGATTTCAGAATAACATCTACCCTGACTTTCACTGCTGCCTGATAAACTTTAGCTGGGCGGAAGAAGTACATATGCTGCAGATGGCAGGATGGTGATGACCCCAAACAGAAGAGCTAAAATTGACGTTTACTTTCGGCGTCTACCCCAGCCCCACTAACTGCAGGGAAGCTATTAACAACTGAAGCCACACTAGCCGTAAACCATCTGGAGGTTTCATTACAGGCCTTCTCTACCGTACCTGCATAAAGTTGTTGATAAAGTGAATTCGCTATACCTCCTCCTTTTCTCTACTAGCAGAATACACCCCGGGTTGTTATGGCTGGGCAGCTCCGAAGTGGGAACAATGTGGCAAGGAGGAATAGATGCGAAGCCCTTCCCCACGGACCTGTATTAAGTCCCGTCCTTCCTTATACAAGTCTTTTTTAGGCCAGTGTTCCTATATCCGTCTATGGGCACGCATGATGGCCAGCACAATTCCCCGTTCCTGAATCCAGTTCTCAAATCGGACGAAACTCAAGATCCACTTGAATTGCCAAGAGGGATCAGTGAAGTATCTCCTCAGTTGCATAAAAATTTGATGACTAGTATGGCCGTCCCGTGCCCGTTTCCTTAGAGTTCCGATTGCGTTTCGATGGCTGACGCGGGAGGTTGACCAAGTGGAGCGCCGGGAATGACGCTCAAAAGAAGAGAGGGGCTATGTAATACAATAGTCATCGCGGTTTTGGTAAGGAGTCACTTTCGACTTGGCCGTTGCACCACGCCAGGTGGGCTGGCCTTCGGGCCATGTCAGTAGTCCTAGTACCTTTTGTATATCGAATACATATATTCTGCCCGAGTATTGTGTCTTCTTTCGTCTTCAGGGAAGTCTCGAGATGCCGCACATGGGTCTGTGCATATTGTGCGCAGTACATTGGCTTGTGACAACTGCAAATGGTGACTACATTCATATCCATAATTAGCGTTTGCTTATTATTTAAGTACAATGAATGCTATTACAAAGACAATTTGTTAAGTCACGAGCAGTTTTTCACCTCATTGGTTTTGATCTCTGTTTAATTATTTGTAAAATTGAATTGGACTTCTCTGTATTGATTTAGTAAATTGTTTAATGCTGCATGTGATTACGTCAGCAGTTGAAGGCCCACAGATTGAAATTTGGCTAAAGTGCCTGGGTAGTCGCAGCTCTTTTGTACGTCAGTAACGTATTTGACACACCAGTACTACTTCTTACGACATCAGGAAGGACTCAGACCTCTACATTGATGGCAAATATAGGCGAGTCCGATCCTAGAGAACAACTACCTTGATCTCCATTCCTAAATGCTAGACCCCAATGTGACGGGAGAACATCGGATGCCGATGGGCGAATCTGCGGGGGTTCGTAACAAAAGGGTTTAAATTAATGTATACCCTCAACAATTGCTCCATTTTTCGTGTTCTAAAGTAATACAATAAAGAGCTTAAGCAACACTATTCGTGTACCATCTGAAAAAGCCTATTGGGAAGCTGCCTACGGCATCTGTATGAAAATGTCCATTAAGTGAACAGAGCTGCCTCCACCTATACGAGCTGAATGGAATCCAGATAGATGTATGGCCGAGCATCACCGAAGTGGGGACCAAGTGGTTTAGAGGGATAGATGAAATATATCTTTTCCCATGGAATTATTTAAAAACGCTTTTCTTGCTAACTAACCGCTTTTAGGTCAGTAATCTTACGACTAGCGATTGAAATGTGTGGTGGTCTTGATGAAGAGGATTATCCAATCTCCAGCAGTAGGAGGACAGCAAAATTCCCTTCTCCAGTACAGATATTTAGCAGGACGAAACTCTGGACCCAACGGAATTAACAAAATGGGTTAATATTGTTGCAGTCGAATATTTTTTCACTTACATGCATTTCCAATGCCTGATGTAGTTGGTGCTTCTTTATCTTAAACACTGGTTACGTTGTGATAGCTGATGTGGGAGATTTACCATGTGAAGCATGCACAGACTTCACTCAAAAGATGGTAGAGGTGTGGTATGTTGCATTAATTAGTAGTTTAAATCTCAGTATCGTTAATGGACCACCCAGGGCCTCGTCCCGAGTACCGCCTTCTATCTCAAGGGAAAAATTTCGGTACTACAGCCTTTGGTGTTCTGGCTATTTATTCAACTCTACACTGTATTTCCACCTAAAGCCATGGCCTCTAGGCCGTCGTCAGAAAAGTCTCGGGACGATACATTCGTTTTTCCTTACTAAAGTTTATGCTGCTAAATGGGATCCTATTGGGTGACCGATATTGTGTTATTTACATCGGCTAAATGGATTTATCTTATGCAACTAAGCTTGTTGAAACAAAGGCAAATCTTTGAGTAAGTTCTTAGAGGCGATTTATTATACTTACAGACATAGAGGAAATTCTATAATATTCGTATTGCATGCATAGACTTCCATCACACGTTGCATTTGTAAACGTCTTAGCATGAGCACAATTTTAAATATTTTTGTTTCTTTTTTGGCAAACTTCTTCGTTATCTTTCTCAACCGCTTTTAAAATCAGTCTGGAACTCAAGGCTTCTTTAAATAGGTGTACTTAAGTCCTAACACTGTTGAAAACAATGATGGTCCCGGAAGACGAATCGGTTATTTGTTGTTTTTCCTTATACTTTACACTTAGGAATCAGATATGGACAATCTGGACCCTTTTTCTGGTAAATATGTTTATTTATGAATCAAGGCAGTTAAGGCGAACATGGTCAGGCCACCGCAACCGTACCAGATATTGCACCTGTAAGTGAAGTACTTGACGTCAAGCTAAGCTTTAGCTGTCGGAATCACACCTTTTTACCTCAGAGCCAAATATGATTACAGTTAAGGTTCTTAATCCGGAGAAGGTGGGCGAGGGTATGTCATCATATGTTGTCTATGCTGTTAAAACCATGGTAAGCCTCATACGTCATCCATTGTCTGCAGACTAACATGTCGTGCTTTAAGAATTCCAATATGTGTGTTCATCGTCGTTTTTCGGATTTCCTTGGTCTGTATGAGAAGTTAAAAATGAAATACATTCCACAGGGGCTGATTATACCTTGTCCTCCAGAAAAGAATATGCTCGGTACTGTCAATCCACCTTATATTTACGAATCCAGGCACCACAAAGATGCGTCTTTCAAAGAGCAGTTTTGCTGATTCGGACTTCATTGAGAAACGCAGGGTTTCTCTTGAATGGTTTTTACTTTTTGGTGACTTTCACTGTGTAGTTTTTTGCATAGAATTGTAAACCACCCCATTTTAATAAGTGATCACAATGTTCGTGAATTTTTGGAACTTGAAAACGAACTTCCTCGGTATTCCAGCGCTCAATCGCTTTCTGGTGTAGCAGCTATGAAATTCCTGAAGAATGTTGGTGAAGCTGTTGGAAAGCTTACATTTAGAATGGATGAAGTCGATGAGGTTAGTGCTCAACTTCCATTATATTTGCGTCTTCGGTGCCTATTCTGAAGCTTATATTCGTTCCAGTATTTTGACCTTAAAGACGAGGAACTGGAGAATTGGGATATACAGGGCAGTCGGCTCTATGCCGCTTTATCTAATTTAGTCCTAGATCAGAATGGTAAGTCTCATACCCTTTTGAAAAATGAACTGAACGTTTGGTTTAGATCTGGTGGCTTCTACTCTCGCCTCGTCAAAGGCACTTTCTGTTTTGGCTAATGTGGAGGAGCATACTGGGCTGGCTAGAGCACTAGGGCAGCTAGCCGATACTGAGGAGGAAATGGCTCATTTCCTGTCGGTTGAGGCTGAGGCCCAATCAACTTTTCTAGTTGAATACTCGAAGGGTGTGCTTTCTAGTGTTCAAGCCTGTAGAGTGCGTTGCGTTGGCGTCATTTTGCCTTTACCTTAAACCGTGTATTGTCTGTCAAATGTCCGTCTGAGTTTTTATTATTTAGGATGTTATCTTTACAAATGGTCGAATCACCTTGTGTATCCACGATTTGACGGATAATGTGTCGACCTTTTTATAATAAGTACATCCTTCTGTTGAGATATTCTTACAGATTATGATGAACAATTGTCATTGATAATGCATCAGAAATTCACTTGATAACTCAAGCTTTCTCCACCACCAAAGGCCTGGTATTGTTAATTTTTTAACTAGCTTTAAATAGTTTTCAAACAATTTGGAACCTAGGATAATGGTCCTTTTGTTTTTCCCCCTGCTTTTTTAGCACTTTTGGGCACGTTTTCCTAGGTAGAAGTGTGATTTTGGCAAACTAATGCAATACTTTAAATTTCTCATGGAACATGCCTTGAAATCGGCAACATAGGTTTTATATCTTGAGTGATCTTTCGCAGTTCTAAATTTCCCTTGCCTTAATAAGTTAAAGCAATTTTTTGTTTATATTACCTTTACTTAACATCTGACTCATGGATACGAAGTACTTTTGGTTCAATCAAGTTATCGATAACTCGCGTTTTTGCTAAAAAACTTGCAGTTCATATATTTTAAGTTAAAAATGCCCCAAAACGCTTGCCAGGTCGTTATTTTATGACGTTTTCAAGATTTGATTAGTTGATGTGGTGACATCGTTCATTAATTCAATCCCGTGAAATACTTTTTACAGCAATGAAGTTTTTCATTTTTGTGCTCTATACTCTACGCCTCATGTCCTTGAATTTTTGTATAAACTGGGTTACTAATAGGAAACCCTTATTTATCTTTGCAAATGGTATTCTTCTGTCTTCATGTTGTTAGCTTTTCTCTACTACAGGATACTTTGGCGGAGCGGATCCGTGTGTTCAAGATGCGTCGAGATTGTGAGTCCGTTCTGCGAGGGAAACGAGAGCAGAAGGTGCGCATCGAAATGTCTCCTAAGGCTGATCGCGCCAAAATTCCTACACTTGAACGTGAAATTAGTGAAGTAAGAGACGGTGTTCTGTGTAATAGTTTCAACTTCCTTCTGAGTTCATGGAATCTTTTTACTTAATTAAGTCAGCTATTGCTTATTTTCGTGTCGTCGCGTCATCAAAGTACCCCAGTCTTTTTGTGAAGAGACACTCTTAGAAACAGTTATAAAATCTTTTCATCCAACACAGTGTTTATACCGTACGATTGGGAATTCGGAGGTTTTTTTAGATTTTGCTCGTTGCCGCAGCAGAAGGAATGAGGCCTGAAGTATTTTATTCAAAATTTGCGTTTCTTCGCTTATTTGGAAAGAATTTCATCTGTTTTTCGTACCTCTCCCTTTTTTCATAAGTCCGCTTGGACATATGAGCATACGGCCAACTCTGAAAACCAAATCATTTAACTTGCAGCTATCCCAACGCGTGGAGGTGAGTGAAGAAGAGTTCGAAAAGATTTCAATAACCATCAAAAAGGAGTTTGGACGCGTCGATGAGGATCGTTTTAAGGAATTCCGAGAAGCCGTGCTGTCCTACCTAACGATGATGCTTCAGATGCAGGAAAAAGTTGGTTTCTGCCTTTCAAGTAGCGATCATGTTTTTGTTTCTTATCAAAATTCTGTGACACTCCAGCGCATGCACTTTGCGCGGCATCCTCTTAATGCCATGGATTGATAGGAGGCAATCTAGATAGTAAACATCCCCACAGCTTGAACTGGGAAAGCCGAAGGCTGCTATGACTGCCACTTTTCACTGTTACGCGTCAAGTAAACGCGTCAGCTACAGGTGCTTTGTTAATAGACCATTGGTATACGACTGTTGCCTTTTGATTGTATACGCACTTTTGTCCACCCTTGTCGACCAAAATCTGCACTTAATAAATGCTTACGTTTTCGTCAACGTCCCAGAAGTACCAAAATGACCTCACCCATCCAGAGTCCTGGTATGCGTAACCGAATCAACTTCATTGATTAATGCGTACTTTGGCTGCACTATAAATGTATGCTTTTTTTTCCATGTTTAGACTCTCAACGCATGGGAATCCTTCATAGGCCATGCCAAGGCTATTGAGTGAATCTACCGCCTTGTCCAATGCTGATTTACGTATTTGACCATCCTTCAGTGTTTCTATGTTTCTATCTTGTATAGAAACTTCCTCTGCTTGTCTTGTGTGCGTCACTTCATTGTGCTCCATGTTCTAATTAATTTGCTTTCTCTAAATTAAAGTTGAAATGGTTTCGCTACTGACGATTTATGCGTGCACGGTGTTGGTAAAGCTCTAGTATACCCCTTTTTCTCAGTTAATCTGCGTAGAGGTCCTTTATAAATTCTTTGGGTGATTTGCCCTTCGGTGTGGTATTCTATCAGTGATGAGGAGTGGGAGTTTTAAATGTCTATTAAGTTTGAAAATGTCGTAATCGGTGCAGTAACAAAGCACCTTTCCAGAAATATTTGTCTGTGTGGGTCTGTAGTCCTTGTCGTTTGTCTACAGCGGCGCCCTCTTCATTTCGTTTATGGTACTAGTCCTGGCCCTTCTGTACCCCGCTAGCAAGCTTACACAGGATTCACTTAGTTAAAATATCTCGTGAATACCCTGCCAAGTAATGTCTTTTTACAAAGTAAAAATCTATTCCTACTATCAGATTAACAATTGTTCAGTTACTTACCATTGATCTGTTTGTGCACCGTGTCAAATAGCACTGTGATGTTATTGCGTCAGTGAACATCTTTCAGACAATTGGTTTGGCAATGAGATTGAGGATGGCAAGCAAAATAATCCTATCCAAATCAACTACAATTTTTGCCTGAATACACCTTTCCAGGTAACTAGATCAATCGCAAATCTCGGGGCCCTCTCATTCCGTTACCAAGAGGTGGACTATTCCCCCGTCTCATAAGCCACGAGCAGAAGTAAGGGGGATGAAAGAGGACAGGAAAAGTCGTTATATGTAAGTACGGAATTAACTTAGAATATAACCCTTGGAACGGTTTTTTTACGTAGCAGTAAAGCTATTCTAAATTTGTTATAGTGCTTTCCCTGTTCATCAAGACAGTAAAACCACGGTGAATTTCCCGCCACCGAAGACAGGCATCGATGATGTCTGTAACTTCCTGGTTGAAATGGCAGTAATTTTTGTGAGAAACCAGAGCTAATTGTGTTTGTAGTTTATTGCGTCACCGGCATATAGGGGAAAGAACTTCGAAAGTTCTTAGTTAAGTACACGAATGTTTTCTCATTACAAGATTTTAAGCTGGGCAAAACGATCGTGGAATTCAAGACAAACACCGGCGAGCCTATACCGATCTGGCAACCATTTGCCCACCTGCTAGAGGAGGTAAATGGTCCAGCTAGCGAGATGATTGAAGACGAGATTATGAAACCGTAAACCATTATGGCACTTACTGATTTCTCTGGCAATGAAAAGGTGGGAGTCTTCTGTTGAGTAGCGATTAGAGAAAGCTAAACTCAATGGTAAAGAAGGATGCTTATTCCTATCCTGCATAAATGGATCGCTAGACTCCTGACACGAGTCCTTGTGATTCTCCACGTTGGTTTTGCAATCGAAATAATTACAAGTGGAAGCGGTGAAAATAGAGGAAAGTGGGATTTCACATTACACGATGGGCTTAACGACTTGCAGATAACGTTTTTTTGGATTCTGCAGTGCAGTGACCACTTCAGCGTCTTATGCAAACTGCTATAGTTGGCCTAATTCCGAAACTAATATAGTACACCCAAATGTCATATTCATTTTCAAGAAAAATAGTTCAGGAGCATTGTGCTCATTAAGGCCTAAAAGAGGCAGATTTTGCACTGAACCCAAAAAACCCCAGTTTCTACAACTGCCATCTTGTCAGACGGGATGGCAATTACAGAACACCGCACAAGGTAAATCAGGGCTTGGTTATCACTAACTAGAGAACTAGTTTCCTAAACAGCGGACTACTGCAGA